ATTAATTCTTTTAACAAGCCCATGAAAAGATTAAATGCTTTAATAGATTCATTGGTTCTAAGTAAGCGAGCATCAAATAAATCTTTGCCTGAATGAAAGGTACCTGGATATTTACGTTTTATAATATTATAAAGACCATCTGAACTACTAAAATCCTATTGGTAATATAAAAAATATTTTTAAGAATTACTAACTCAATCGACGAAAAATGTAGAAATAATCAAATTAAAGATTACTTACGGGTATTCCTCCACTACAAGAAATACCAGCTCCGGTAATTATAATAACTTGTTTAGCACATGCTACACACCTATTTACTTCACAGAGTAGTGGACTATTTTCTTTTGACTTAAGATTTAATTTGACTACCTCCATTAATGTTTTGTAGAATCTGGAATTTAAGGCATTCTTTTATATCTTTTAAAAAGATTTCTTTTCATTCTTTCTAGTACATTCTTTGATTCTATTACATAATAAAATTATATATTTCTAATACAAATTTGTATATATTATTTTTGTACCAATTGTACGCTTTATTCGTAATAAGAAGCTGAAGTCTTTATTATAAAATGATTAAATATTTACTATGCACAAAAATAAAATCAGACCCGAAATTTATACATAGAAAGATAAAGCAATTTTTTTAACTGAGGAATAAATTCTACGCAATAATTCATATAGAAATCTATTCCCTTTCTGTTTCATACAAATTGAAAAGCCAATATGCATAAAAGATCTTGAAATGTTTATTTATAAGTCTTTAATATTAAACACTAAAAAGTTTTTAGTATAAAATTTTTAAAATTTTTATGCAATACTTTAAAAGATTTTTTAAACAAACAGTTTATTATTATATAGCAATGACTTTAGAAGCATAGGAAGGACTTACGTTATATGCAACATGTCTAGTTGTAGGCACGTGGCATATTATAAAATGAAACCTGATTGGATGAAAATGCGTCACTCTAATTATAAATATTTTTATTAGCACGTTAACACAATTTATATTAGTAACATATTTCAGATGAATGCACCTGAAATTCTTAGATTTATAAGGCTTTTATCCAAATAGTTAGCATAATAATAGGGACGAAACAAAGAAAAATTTTATGTGTATTAATGTAATTTGCATTAGAAATATTTAAGTATTTAAATAAATATTGTATACAATCTTTTATTTGTATGGCCAAATGGTTAATCATAAGAGATAATTCTTACTTTCATTAACATCTTTGTCCAAATGGTTTACTCGGTTTTAGTCTTAAATAATTCAGATTCAGATAGTATAGCCTTGTAGATTAATAAACATGTAATGTTAATGGATTTTTCAATCTTCATAAGTAAATTCTTGAAACAAAGGAAATGGATTAATGTCAATATTCTTTGTGCCTTAATGCAAAAAGTCTTTTGTCCAAATGGTTAATTTTTATACTATAATCGAAATTCTTACGCGAAAACTGTTATTTTTAGTGAATATAAGCACTGTACATATACACGACCATTTTTCATGATATCATTAATAAAGTATGTAATATTGAGTAGATTTTTAAAACAGTCTTTAATATCAAAATTCTTTGTACTTTACTGCAAAAGGTCTTTTTTCCGAATGGTTAATGTACGAAATACTTTATAACGTCATAGCGTGGGGTTTAAACCCGACGAAATAATTAAAATAATAAAATCAAAAATTTGTGTAATTTTGAACTTAAAAAATCTTGGTATCTCGAAGTTATTTTGATGATTTACTATTCAAAATAAAGCTAAAGGTTTAAGATTTCTTTTGAATATTAAATAATCAAAATTCAGCGAGATATGAACTATCAGCTATGAAAATTAAGATATTGTTTTTTTTAAAATGTGATTTCTATTGCCGGCAGCCTATATGTGTAAGATCATCTGAACAAATTCAGAATTAAAGATAAAATGATTATTTTTGTTGAACAAAATCTGTCATTAACCGTCCTTGTTTCAAGATCATTTAACTAATTACATGAAAAGTTTATGCCACTCTTAATTTAGTACCAGATATGAACAAAGAAATGGAACTTAAATATATTAAATTCTTAAAAATGTCTACTACATCCCAGGGACGTGGGGATTTTGTGATTTACTGCGATCTTAAGGAATAGTAACTTATAGATTTTATAGGCATAAACTCCTTAGAAACATCGTAAATCGCAAGATCCCCACGTCTCTGCTACATCCCTAACCATAGAATAATTATTTTAGTCAAAATAATTAGGATCTTTCACATCTTTCACATACATTGATTAGAAAAGAGAATGATTATTTATTAGTTTTCGTATTGTGTTTTTAAATAGTCAGCAGATTTTTGTGATGTTGGCTAGATTGTGAAACATGCACTCCTAATTAGGAATGAAGTTGATTCTTAAAAGAATTCATTCAATTTCAATTTACGAATTCGAGACTAAAAATTTTTCTGTAGTTGGAGTCAGCAGATTTTTGTGGCGTAAAATTCTTTGGCTTGATTGTGAAACATGTACACCTAATTAGGCACGAAATTGATTCTTAAAAGAATTCATTCAATTTTAATTGTCAAATTTTGAGATCTAAAAATGTTTTGTGAAGAATATCTTTAGAGGGGATAATTTAATAGTTAATAATCGAAAGAAATATCAGATATATAGTGCTAGACTAACAGGTGCCACCAAGCATGGCTACCTTCTCTGTTTATAGAAAAGCAAATAAAATGAACTGAATGAATAAAGTAGATGAAAAGCATTAAAGATGTCATCAAGAAGGTTAATAGAGAGCGAGAGAATTGACAAATAGAAAAAATTAACAATTATGATCACAAAAACAAATGCTTCTGCTTCATCCTCTCTGATTTTAATTTGTTCTTTTGATTAATGTTAAAAATGATAAGAATTCGTATGTACTACAAAGAAACATAATACAAGCAGATCTTCTGTAATTACCTGATGTTTAATTGATCAAAGAAAATTTTGACAATTCAAAAAATCAATTTTTTATTCTTAAAACAATACATAAACATAATTCGGTATCATTTATTTGAATAAGGTATATACAAGTTAAGACAATTTATTAAATTATATTACATCATAAAGGTTCGTGATGTATCACTGTTGAATACGTGAATACGTGAAACATACAAATATAAGAAATAAATATATCTTTTCACCAAAAATATTTGTCATTATCGTCTCCGAAAAAATGTTCGCTACCATATTCAACGCTTTCACGCGTGATTTTTATAGCGGTGTCGTAGTCATTAACCCCAAGATCTTCCATTATGAACCAAACACCCAATTCGGGAATTATAACTTCTTCCATAAATTTTTTATTTATATCTCCTACTTTAGGTTTCCACACTGTCGGGTTTAACATCAAATGTTCGTACATTATTGTGAACCCTTTTATTACATAATATCTAGGTACAAAATTATTAGATCGATGCATTATAGCGAGTGGATGGTGGAGTTGCAATTCAGATAGTGATTTGAAATTGTTGTAGTACTCATATTTTTCTTTATATTCACATATATCGATGATATGTTTGGTAACCTCTTTGGTTTTGAGTCTTCTTACCAAGTTTTTTAGCTTAGCTCGTATTTCCTTCTTACTGATATTAAGAGAACGATCTTTGTTGATGGTATATGTGAAATCACCATTATTATTATTTGCAGCCGTGGTATCATCATGTATTTCGATAAACTCAGCATCATATTTTTTGTTAATTTTATTGTTGCTGAAATTTGGTATGTTTTCTAACACAGTTTTAAGAGGCGGCAGTTCATCGTCGTCATCTGAATCAGGGATTAATATAATTTCTGTTCTAAGTTTTTTCATGTAAGTTTTTTGGGTTTTGAGTCTTCTCACCGAGCTTTTTAGCTTAGCTCGTGTTTCCTTCTTACTAATTCCAAGAGAACGATCTTTGTTGGTAGTATATGTGAAATCATCATTATTATTTGCAGCCGTGGTATCATCATGCATCTCGATAAACTCAGCACCATATTTTCTGTTAATTTTCTTGATGGTGAAATTTGTTATGTTTTTTAACATAGTTTTAAGAGACGGCAGTTCATCGTCGTCATCTGAATCAGGGATCAATATAATTTCTGTTCTGAGTTTTTTCATGTAATGTTTTTGGGTTTTAAGTCTTCTCACCGAGCTTTTTGTATATTTGAAATCATCATTATTATTTGCAGCCGTGGTATTATCATGTATCTCGATAAACTCAGCATCATATTTTCTGTTAATTTTCTTGCTGGTGAAATTTGTTATGTTTTTTAACACGGTTTTGAGAGACGGCAGTTCATCGTCGTCTGAATCAGGAATTAATATAGTTTCTGTTCTGAGTTTTTT